TGTGTTTTTGGAAAGTTTTTCAGAGTCTGCATTCCCCTGAGCAGAATGTGGTATGTGATTCATAGTTCCTTGCAGTCCGGTACATGTGTGCGCGCGCATGTGTGTCCGAGTGCGTGCACATGCATGCCAGCACAGTAAACTCCTTCCCTGAGTTGTGAATAATCATGGTCCTTCCTGGAAACCATCTTTGAGCTGGGATGTGAACCTCCTCATCTCTACTCACCTCTCCTTTCTACCCTTCACTTCCTCCGAGGTGATTACTTAGGTGTAACCTGGGAGAAAGAATAGGGCTGGGTATCCAAGAGGCTTTACATCCAGCTCCACCCGTGGACTGAGTGTGTGGCCCTGGGCAGTTTCTTGTTCACCCTGCATTGGTTCTCCTGGAATCGGGAACCTTGCGTGCCCTTCTTTCCTCCTCAGAGAGCTTGGAAGGGTGGAAGGCTCTGAGGAGAGCTGGGGGACCCACTGTGTGTGGCTCATTGCTCTGGGAGGGTTTCCCTGGCAAATGAGGGTGGTCCTTCTCCTCCCTTGCTGACTCAGGCAGGGGACACAGCAGACTGGATGCCTAGAACCCCACAAGGGTGCAGGAAGCTAGTGCTCCTCTCTGCCTTCTTTCTGCTTTCTTCCCCTGAACTCTCTGCCCTTTTACCCCTGGTTCAAGGAGGCTCTTTTGGCCCACATGCATTCTGGGCTGCTCCACCAACTGTGCCCCCGCAACCCTTTTCATCAACTTCAGGGCTCATTTTCTCCTGAGCCCTCTCCCTTACCCTGCCTTTCTCCCCTCAAGATCAGAAACATTCCACTCTGTCTCCCCCACAAATCCCCTGTGCCCCTCCAACGTCAACACGAACCATGTCTCCATTCACTCCAGTCCGCAAATGCCTTTTGCTCTTATCCTCTTCCTGAGTGGTCTGCCTCAGTGATCTACTGCTGTGTAACAAACAACAAAAGCAACCTCTGTTTTGTCATACATCACAGTTGCGTAGATCGGGAATTTTTGGATGGGGCTCAGTTAGACAATCCTTTCAGTGTTTCCCATGATGTTGATTAAAATCTCTTAACAGTCCTTAGCTGATGAGATGGTCGGTCTGGAGGGTCTAAAATGCTTCATTCAGACATCTGGTACTCTCAGCTGACTTGTTCCAGAGTGAGTGGTTCGAGAGACTTGGATGGAAGCTACCAGGCTAAGATCAGCTGGGGTTGTCACCTGGAACACTTACAGGTCATCTCTCCAGCCTGGTGGTCTCAAGGGTGACAACAGCCCACAGTCAAGAGGAGGGATTAGATCCCACTCTTGATGCAGGGACTAGCAGAGACTTTCAAGTCATCTTTCATTGACCAGCACATCTTTCAGGTCTTGCTCTGAAGCCTCTCACTTTGCCCTTGCAGATGAGCTTTTGCTCTGTGACTCTTTCCTAGGTCCTTGATAGTTTTGGTTTTCCCAGCTGGGCTGTGCACTCTTCCAGGGAGGGAGGAAGGGGAGGTATTGGCCAGGTGCTGCAGGCAGAGGCTATACCCAGCAGATGTTTAACAAAGACAGCAGGAGAGGCTCTCAGGAACTGGAAGATGAGTTGTATAGGTTAAGCATCATGTCAATGACATGTATTATCCATAATCTTTCCTTTAAACACCAGGAACAATCATGGTACCATGAAATCTTAGCTCAGCAGCCTTGTCAGGGAGCAGGTATTTGGGCCCCCAGGCAGATGAGGCAACAATCACCTGGTCAAAGTCAGGGTGAGGGCTGTTTTGATGATGGCAGTTCTCATTCACAGGCTCTTGGCTCTTGCAGATTTGAAGTTGGCTGACTCAAGTCAGATAGAAACTTGCCAATTCCACCTGCTTCAGCATCAGGGAGCTGTACAGAATGAAGCATCAGTACACAGATGCTAGAACAACAGTGCTATACAACAATAGCCTGATTAACCTTTCACTGATCTCTCTCAACAATTTGTTTGAGCTTCAGCTTTATAGAACCTATTGTCATTTACCATTTGGTTATCCACTTTCACCATTCAATATTTTGTGACTGTTTACTCTTCTATTCTATTTGTCTTTGTGGGTTTATACCTAAAACATTATTCACTTTTGTTTTAGTGAGACTTCCAGTTCAGTTCAGTTCAGTTCAGTTCAGTTGCTCAGTTGTGTCCAATTCTTTGTGACCCCATGGACTGCAGCACAGCAGGCATCCCTGTCCATCACCAGCTCCTAGAGCCTACTCAAACTCATGTCCATTGAGTCAGTGATGCTATTCAACCGTCTCATCCTCTGTTGTCTGCTTTTCCTCCTGCCTTCAATCTTTCTCAGCATCAGGGTCTTTTCCAATGAGTCAGTTCTTCACATCAGGTGGCCATAGTATTGGAGTTTCAGCTTCAGCATCAGTCTTTCCAATGAATATTCAAGACTGATTTCCTTTAGGATGGACTGGTTGGCTCTCCTTGTAGTCCAGGACTCAAGAGTCTTCTCCAACACCATATTTCAAAAGCATCAATTCTTCTGCACTCAACTTTCTTTATAGTCCAACTCTCATATCCATACATTACTACTGAAAAAACCATAGCTTTGACTAGATGGACCTTTGTTGACAAAAACGTTTCTGCTTTTTAATATGCTATCTAGGTTGGTCATAACTTTTCTCCCAAGGAGTAAGCATCTTTGAATTTCATGGCTGCAGTCATCATCTGCAGTGATTTTGGAGCCCAGAAAAATAAAGTCAGCCACTGTTTCCCCATCTATTTCCCATGAGGTGATGGGACCAGATGCCATGATCTTAGTTTTCTGAATGTTGAGCTTTAAGCCAACCTTTTCACTCTCCTCTTTCACTTTCATCAAGAGGCTCTTCAGTTCCTCCTCACTTTCTGCCATAAGGGTGGTATCACCTGCATATCTGAGGTTATTGATATTTCTCCCAGCAATCTTGATTCCAGCTTGCGCTTCCTCCAGTCCAGTGTTTCTCATGATGTACTCTGCATATAAGTGAAATAAGCAGGGTGACAATATACAGCCTTGATGTACTCCTTTTCCTGTTTGGAACCAGTCTGTTGTTCCATGTCCAGTTCTAACTGTTGCTTCCTGACCTGCATATAGGTTTCTCAAGAGGCAGGTCAGGTGGTCTGGTATTCCCATCTCTTTCAGAATTTTCCACAGTTTATTGTGATCCACACAGTCAAAGGCTTTGGCACAGTCAATAAAGCAGAAATAGATGTTTTTCTGGGACTCTCTTGCTTTTTCAATGATCCAGCGGATGTTGGCAATTTGATCTCTGGTTCCTCTGCCTTTTCTAAATCCAGCTTGAACATCTGGAAGTTCACGGTCCACGTATTGCTGAAGCCTGGCTTGAAGAATTTTGAGCATTACTTTACTACCATGTGAGATGAGTGGAATTGTGTGGCAGTTTGAGCATTCTTTGGGATTGCCTTTCTTTGGGATTAGAATGAAAACTGACCTTTTCCAGTCTTGTGGCCACTGCTGAGTTTTTCAAATTTGCTGGCATATTGAGTGCAGCACTTTCACAGCACCATCTTTTAGATGAGACTTCCAAGAGAGTGGCTAAGTCTGCCATATTTAACTGGAAGTTCCAGGGCACATTATTTAATCATTTTATATGGTGCTAGTGGTAAAGAACCTGCCTGCCAATGCAGAAAATGTAAAAGATGTAGGTTTTATCCCTGGATTGGGAAGATCCCCTGGAGAAGGGCATAGTACCTCTCTCCAGTATTCTTGCCTGGAGAATTCCAAGGACAAAGGAGCCTGGTGGGCTACAGTCCATGTGGTAACAGAGAGTTGGACATGACTAAGCAACTTAGCATGCATGCATAATGAAGAAACTTAAGCTCACAAAGGATGTGAGTTGTGTAAAGACACAAAAACAATGAAGGAACTTGAACCCAGATCTGGTTCTAAATCTAGTGCTGTTTCTTGACCCACCCTTCGGTCATTCCTCTAAGGATCATCTCTCATAAGATAGTTTTGTGTAACATGTTTTGCTAAAGGCTCAAGAGGGTAATAATGGGAGGAGAGGTACATCACAGGGTATACAACTCAATATTGAGCATTAGATATTTTAATACTCAGTTCTTTCCACAACTGAGAATTTATTTCTAACTACTTTTTCTCTTTTGGCTCCCTAACTGCTGTCTTCTTTCTTCTGTTTCTCTCTGTTTTTTCAGGTGGCCTCATTATCCCTTTCTCAAGCTACCCATGAAAACTCAAAATTTCTCTCAGTTTTCTGCACAATTGAGCTACTTCTTCTGTATTCTCTCCATGCCATGGAAGTAGTAGGAAGATAGGGAATGGGGAAGAATTGATTTTAACTAACCAAAAATCTCATTGTATTTGTTAAGGTAAAAGGGTAAACTTCTGGGGAAAAAGGAATCCAAATTTATAGGACTGAAAACAATTTATTTCTCTTGTGTAAGGGTAGTCTGTGGAGGTCTATGAGCGCCCCATCCAATCATTCAGGGAACCAGGCTGATGGCAGCTCTGCCAACTTGAGTATTGACTTCCAAGGGTGCTCTAGTACTTGACATCTCAGTAAGCTGAAGGACTGTGGAGAAATGAATGGGCAGGGCCCTCAGCTACCCCATCCTCCTGGGCAACTGGAAGCCACTCTTAACAAAAATCTAACAGAATAAAAGCAAAGAAAATAATCTTTTTGACCAGGATGAAACAATCTGAATAGGATCCAATACCTAAATTATTGCTTATTATTATAAGTCCTAGTCCAGAACAAATATGTACATCCTTTCTATAGGCAAACAAAAATCACCAGATACATGAACAAATTCAGCAGCTCCCAGCAAGGGATTCATTGAAAAAATAACACAATCTGAAACAAATTTAATCCTTTAGACCCTAACTTAAAAAACCACAAATAATCTATATTTATATTTCCAGGGAGATGGAGTCTGAAATTAGTTTCCAACAGTAGTTGAATCTCTCTTTACCTTTTTTTTTTGTTTTTCTTTACTTGGCAATCAATACATTTTCTTTTTTGGCAGGATCCATGTGCTCCTGATTGCATCTTCTGTCATTGTTCAGCTCTGCAGTTACTTTGGAATGGCTTATTTCTCAGGTAGCCTGTTTGCATGGTGGCCCAAATGGCTATTAGCAGCTCTGAGACTTTGCTTTTATAATATTAGCTTGATGCAAAAGTAATTGTGGTTTTTGCACTGTTGAAACTTGCCATTTGATATTGGAACACATTCTAAATAAATGTGGTTATGTTATACATCATTTTAATGNCATGAGAAGTTACTGAAGAACTCAATGTTGACCATTCTATGGTCCTTTGGCCTTTGAAACAAATTGGAAAGGTGAAAAAGCTCAGTAAGTGGGTGCCTCATGAGCTAACTACAAATCAAAAAATCATTTTAAAGTGTCATCTTTTCTTAATTCTATGCAACAACGAACCATTTCTCCATCAGATTGTGACATTCTATGAAAAGTGGATTGTTTACAATGCCTGTCGATGACCAACTCAGTTGCTGGACCAAGAAGAAGCTCCAAAGCACTTCCCAAAGCCAAACTCAGTACCGAAAAGAAAAAGGTTATGGTCACTGGTGGTCTGCTGCTGGTCTGATCTGCTATAGCTTTCTGAATCTTGGCAACACCATTACATCTGAGAAGTATGCTCAGCAAATTGATGAGATGCACCAGAAACTGCAATGCCTGCAGCTGGCATTGGTCAACAGCATCGGCTCAATTCTTCTCCACAACAATACCCAAACACATGTCGTACAATTAATGCTTCAAAAGTTGAACAAATTGGGCTATGAAGTTTTTGCCTCATCTGCCACATTCACCTGACCACTCACCAACTGACTACAACTTCTTCAAGAATCTCAACAACCAGCAGGAGGCAGAAAATGCTTCCCAGTGTTCGTCGAATTCCAAAGCATGGATTTTTATGCTACAGGAATAAACAAAATTATTTCTCATTAGCAAAAATGTGTTGATTGTAATTGTTCCTAATTTGATTAATAAAGATGTGTTTGAGCCTAGTTATAATGATTTAAAACTGCCAATTACACTGAAACTGCAATTACATTTGTACCAACCTAATAGTTTCAGCAAAATCAATCTCATTGCCCTGGCATCAGTCAATGCCTATTACATTACCTATCAGGTGGCCAAAGAATTGCCATGCTTTTATTGTCATATATTTGTTCACCCGTAGGATCTGGGGATAGAGTCTCATTCACTCAGCCCACGTGAATGGAGAAGGAGGAAGAGGTGTTTCCTTAAAGGAAGAGATGGGTGCTGGACCAGCAGAAACAACTTCTCACTTACCCAACCTAATTACTGTTCATGTGGAAGACAACACAGAGACATTCTTAGATACACTGGGATTCAGAAAGTAAACTATCCATTGTTGTTGTTTAGTCACCAAGTCATGTCTAACTCTTCGTGACCTCATGGACTGTAGCCTGCCAGGCCCCTCTGTCCATGGGATTCTCCAGGCAAGAATACTGGAGTGGATTGCCATTTCCTTCTCCAAAACTATCTATTACCCTTTCTGAAAATATATATAACTAAGAAATATAACTAAGAAATGAATCCAAATAAGAACTCCAATATGGAAGATGTACTATAAAAGAAATGGTGGCAAGCAATACAGTTATAAGACTTAGAGTTAATATCTATATGACTACTAGTAACATAGTTAGAAATTTAATAAAATGAGAAAAATTCTTTAGAGATCTGACCAATGTGAAAAGAAATTTGTAGTAATAACTGATACCCAAACAACTCTGGTTTGTTGCTGTTGTTCATTCACTAAGTCATGTCTCTTTGCCACCTCATGGACAGCAGGATGCCAGGCTTCCCTGTCCTTCACTGTTTCCCACAGTTTGCTCAAAGTTATGTCCACTGAATCAATGATGGCATCCAACCATCTCATCCTCTGTCATCCCCTTCTCCTTCTGCCTTCAATTTTTCCCAGTATCAGGGACTTTTTCAATGACTCGGCTCTTTGGGTCAGGTGGCCAAAAGTTTGGAGCTTCAGCATCAGTCCTTCCAATGAATATTCTGGGTTGATTTTTTCCTTTAGGATTGACTGGTTTGATCTCCTTGCTGTACAAGGGACTCTCAAGAGTCTTCTCCAGCACCACAATTCAACAGCATCAGTTGTTTTATGCTTAGCCTTTATGGTCCAACTCTCACATCTGTTCATGACTACTGGAAGAAGTCTTTGGTTATTCCAATGAAAATCCTTGGATTAGGTTAAGTCAGGAAGGGAGATTGATGGTAAAGTAGGAAAGAATAAGAGCAAACTTGAATCCACCAGACGGACAGGAACATGTGCGTCTATCTCTCATTGCTCTAGCAAGCTGGCATCAACTGTATGTGCAGCAGGGTTAGAATTCTGAGGGACAGGGGTTTACCTGGTGCCTGCATGGTAAAGAATCTGCTTGCCAATGTGGGAGACATGGTTTGGTCCCTGATCTGAGAAGATATCACATGGTGTGGAGCAGCTAAGCTGTGCACCACTACCATTTAGCCTATGCTCTGAAGTTCGAACACCCTAGAGCCCATGTTCCACAAAAATAGAAGCCACTGCCTTGAGAAGCCCAAGCACCACAACTAGAGAGAGGTCCATGCAGCAACGAAGACACAGCACAGTCAAAAATGAATAAATAACTACAATTATAAAAAAGTATTTTGAGGAGCAAGAAGAGACCCAGTCAAGCTGAGGGCCTGGCTGCTGCCCACACCAAGATCAGCTGGCAGGCATGCAGTACTTGCAATAGCAATAGCACCTGGCCCTACACAGAAATTTGGTTTAAAAATAAATGACTGCTCCATCACTCCTGCCTTTGAAATCCCATGTAAATTTTTTTTGAGGCCCATTCTAATCCTCAACTACATAAGGAAGGGAATTCTATGAAATGTAGTTCTTCCAGCTTAGCTAAGTGGTCAGAGTACAAAGCCACCACAATAATTACATAAAAGCAAATGAAAACAAAATGCATTCAACAGTTAGCTCAAAAACTTAGAGAAGAATAATAAAACAAATCTAATGAAAGTAAAAACAAAAAAATTAATAAAGATAAAAGCAAAACTTAATGAGTTAGGAAATGAAGGCACAGCAGGCTTTTACACAAACCAAAATTTTTATCTGTGCAAAGGCTAATAAAATAAGAAAATCTTGAGTAGTGCTAATAAAACAAAAAAGAGCACACAAAACGTTATGAATTAGAAATAGCATAAAATGTTGGAAAGAATGATTTACCAAAAAAGTACAGCAATATACAATTGGAAATTCAAATTTAAAACACCAGTTTCAAGAGCCTTAAAACTTTAAAATGATTAAGGTTAAATATAACACATTTTGTACAAGACCTGTACACTGAAATTATAAAACCTTGCTGAGAAATTAAAAGCTATTGAAATAAAAAGAAAGATATACCGTATTCATGAACTGGAAGACAATATTGTTAAGATTTTGCAAGTCCCCCAAAGTTTCCACAGGCTGAAAACAATCCAAACAAAAATTTCAGAAAGCTTTTATTTTTTGGAGGGGAGGGGTAGAAATTGGCAAGTCAATTCTAAAATTTATATAGAAATACAAAAGATCTAGACAGCAACTGGTAAAAAAAGGAGAAAGACATAGGACTTAAATTATTTGATTTCATGAATATAAACCAATAGGAATCAACATAGTATGGTATTGATGTGAGAACAGATCAGTGGAACATATATAGTCATTGTCTACACAGGTGCCATGGTAATTCAATGGGGATTCTTTCTTCAACACATGAAACTGAAACAACTGGATATCCATATGTTAAAAAAGTAAGCTTTGATCCTTACCTCACGTCATAAAAAAATGAACATGAAACAGATCATAGACCTAAATATAAGATCTAGAACTATAAGCTTCTGCAAGAAAACAAGGAAACCCTTGTGCTATTAAGTTAGGCGGATTTCTTAGGACACAAAAAGCACAGAGTGTAAATAAAAAATTAAATGCAACTTCATCAATATAGTCTTGCTATTTGAAAGACACTGTTGAGAAATTGAAAAATCATGCTACAGATTGGGAGAAAATACTTGCAAATATATCTGTTAAATAAATAATTCTTATTCATTTATAATAAGAATGCAGAATAAAAAACTGAATAAAATGAGTAGAAGATTTGAATAAAGACTTAAAAATGAAGAGATGAAGCTCAAAAAGCACATGAAAAGATGCTCAATACTGGGTCATCAGGGATAATATATATTAAAATCACAATGAGATACTGCTATGCACATAATAAAATTAAAAAGACTGATCATACCAAGTGTTGGCAAGGACATGAAGCAACAAGAATTCTCATACACTGCTGATGGCAGTGTGAAATGGGATATCCACTTTGGGAAATAGTTAATTTCTTATAAATCTAAAATATATCCCAGCAATCCCATTCCTATTTTTTTCCAAGAAAAATGATAAGTGTGACCATATAGAGACTTGTACACAGAGCTTTACATAGCAGCTTGATTAGTAATAGCCTCTGAACTGGTCTCCTGAGCTGCTCTAGTAACAGTTCAGTTTGGTTCAGTCGCTCAGTCATGTCTGATTCTTTGCAACCCCATGGACTGCAGCCTCCAGGCTTCCCTGTCTATCACCAACTCCTAGAGCTTGCTCAAACTCATGTCCATCAAGTTGGTGATGCCATCCAACCATCCCATCTTCTATCATCCCCTTTTCCTCCTGCCTTCAATCTTTCCCAGCATCAGGGTCTTTTCTAATGAGTCAGCTCTTCACATCAGGTGGCCCTAGTAACTGGGAAGACCAATTTTGACTCCATGTTGGGTCTGTTTCTTTTACTTTAACCCTTGCATTTTGTTGCTTTTGTTCTTATGAAAGTGTTAGTCACTTAGCCGTGTCTGAATCTTAGTGACCCTATGGACTATAACCTACCAGGCTCCTTGGTCCATGGGCTTCTCCAGGCAAGAATACTGGAGTGGGTTGCCATTTCTTCTCCAGGGGATCTTCCCCACCCAGGGATAGAACCCGGGTCTCCCACACAGCAGGCATATTCTTTATCTTCTGAGCCACCAGGGAAGCCTTTTGTTCTTGTAATCGTACATAATGGCTTGCCTCAGGG